TGGGGGAAAGGGAGCCCTTCCACTCTTAGTGGGAATGTAAGCTAGTACAATCACAATGGAAATCAGTATGGAAGTTCCTCAAAAAAACTAAACATAGAGATAACATTTGATCCAGATATACTACTCCTTGGTATATTTACAATATACCCATGTTTATTGTGGTACAATTCACAATAGCTAAGCTGTGGAAACCTCTAGGTGCCCGTCCATGGATGGATAAAGAAAACATGGTGTACCTATACATGGTGGAATATTATTTAGGTGTAAAAAATGAAATCATTCCATTGACAGGACAATGGGTGGAACTGGAGACCAGACTCAGAAAGTTAAATATCACATAGTTCTTTTATATGAGGGATATAAAAAAGGGAGAGAAGGAGAGATGATAGGAAAGTAGAAGGTAGACTATTAGAGATGAGGAAGGGGATTAGGGGAAGAGGAGAGGAGAGATGGAGGAAATAAAAATAACCAAAATATGTTCTATGCCTGGACCAATACACCAAGCTGACACTCCTTGCTCCAGGATACTAGTCCACACTAAGAAGCTATTTTACTGTAAATTATTGATAATATAGTAGTTATAAGACTGCTCTATCTTTACTTCACCCCACTTCATTTGGATTGCATAGTAATTCAGGTTTGAATAATGAAATTAGCCCTTGCAGTATATGTGGAAAGAGGATTGAGAGAATATTAATAAGCAAATGAAATCGCACATGGGTGACTAACATTCTTTTACAGAATTATTCCCAAGCTGTCCACAGCAGCCTTCTGACATAGAGGTGTGCTAATGACAAATGTTCCTTCTCTCTCCAACAAGGTTGGAAGCCCTCTGCCAGCCTTGATCAGGAAAAATGAGGACTCTTCTAACAAGAAGTCTGCAAGGTTAAGTTCGGTGCATGTACCAAAAGTGTTGGCAGTGACATAGTTTGCCAACGGCACAAGTGACAACAATAAAACGAACCAATTATAAATGAGAACAAATGACTAATGTTTGTATAATGCTCTACGATTTCCCAAAGGCATTGGGCAAGATTGTAAGATTCCATGCATTCGGTAAACATGTCTGAGGGCCCCCTGTGTTCCAGGCCCTAAAAGCTTAGCTGGGAAAGTTTCCTTTCTCACGAAGCTGTATCTGAGCTGTGCAACATCCTGCTGAAATAAGTAGGTCGAGAACTTGTCTTCTTTGCAGGTGAAGACATTCTCAAGCATAGTTACAGCTTGGATTTAAATCACTAGGAACTTGGAACTTGGACCTCAGATGAAATTTTATCACTGGTTATTCTAGTTTGTTTCTCAAAACTTTTTAAAACTTGGTGCCTTGGTACATAGTGTACCTTCAAATAGTGTCTTCGTAAGTATAATGAATCTTCACAGCTGAAACCCTTGCATTTAAAACTCCTCCCAGCGCTCAGGCTGATAGCCCTATGCCCATAAGGACTGACTTGGCTTAGGAACACACCAGTGTACAGTGGGTCCAGCCAACCTTGCTGTTCTGTGAGCCCCTTCCGTCATTTACCACCAACAAAATGACTGGGATATGAGACTGTATCTGCTTTAAAATTTTTCATAACCAAAAAAACCAAATTAACTACCTTTATTTTAATCCTTGTTTTTGTTTTGGGGGGCTTCTGGGGGGTTTTTTGTTTTTTTTCCAGTACCGGGAATTGAACTCGCGACCTTGCACTTGCCAGGCAGGCGCTGTGCCGCTGAGCTAAATCCCCAGCCCCTAATCCTTGTTTTTAAAATCTAACTTTATCATTTGCACTGACTCATGGAACTATCAGAAATTACAGAGGTTTTACTTTTTTCTGTGTTTGAAACATAGCCTATCAATGCAAAATAGTTACTTTGACTTCTAAAAATGTATAGAAGCCATATATGAACGCTCTTTGGCATAAATGATTATGAGTGAGATAATAAGTTTCTTCACAGAGGTAATGAATTTTGTGAAAAAAAATAAGTATGGCACCAGATTCTATCTTTCCTCCCCAACTCTTATTATGTTCTGTGGCTGTGGGAAGATCCCTTTGCATAACAGCATGCTAAGTGGGAATTGTCCTGGAGGCTGTAAGTACCACATACTCTAAGAAGAAAGCTACTAAGAATGGAGCCAGGCACCTGCTCAGGGCTCACCAAGAGGTGCTGTGTCCTATCCTGCCATGGTCAGCCACCTGGCTGTCCATATGCACAGAGGACCAGTTGCGAGCTGTGTGGGTCCCCAAGGAAAGGCCTGGATTTCATCCCCACAGCAAGCCATCCAGGTGACAGAGGGCTGGATGGCAGCAGGGCAGCTTTCGGTGGACACACTGGTAACTGGAGCGAGAAGCTGAATTTCTGGTGAGAGTTCCTAGGGGTAATTCAGTGGGGGAAACTTTTAAAGAGGGATAAGCTTTCTTTTCCATAGTTTGCTGTTGTTAACTATTTTCTGCTGGGTTTCTAAACCTGGTCCCTGCCAGGAGGAGAAACCAGCATCTCTCAATGGCCGGACTTCGGGTGGGTGGGTGTCCATAGCACCTACCCAGCCTGAAAGACACTTGGAGGGAGCAGTCCTAGCAGACAGGGGCCGTGCCAGCAGAGCAGCCTGCCCTCCCACAGCCCTGCAGGACCGTGGTGCACACAGGTCAGGTTGGGTTGCTTGGATGTACAGCAGGAGGCTGGAGTGCTGTACCTCCTCCCCTGCAGAGAGAATTCCGCTGCACCCAACGAGGAGGCCCTGTCCTTCTCCCTGCCCCCACCAACAACAACAACTAAACACAGGAAGGAGGAAGAGGAGGTGGGGAACATCCGGGGAGAGGCCGAGCCACCCCTCCTTCCATCCTCTTAGAAGACAAAGCGTACCCTTGCGTCTCACCACCTTGGGTGTCTGAAGCCCCACACCTGGCCTGTGACGAGGAAGGGGAATGTTAGAATCAGCTCTGAGCTGGGTTTTACACACATGGATTCTTCATGACTCAGTCAACCCAGAATGTTAAGTGGTCTGGGCCCATCAGGGTGAGAGACCGGCATGGCCCATTTAAGAGTAATGACTGGAAAACAATAAAACATGTAGGTGTTTAGACCCAGTGGAGTTGAAACTGTTCCATTCTGTAGCTCCATGTGGACAGACTTGTTTCAAGCTCCGTAAAACAATGTCCCTGTCTCTAGAGCTTCCCTTTGCCTTCTGTAAAGTTGGCTCTTCCCCAGCCGTCCCAGCCAGGTGAAACCTGGGCCACTCCCCTGTGTAGCCTGAGGAAGCCGTGTAACCTCTCCAAATGTTGGTTTTCTCATCTGCCAGGTGGCAGGTGATCTGTGAGTTACTGCTTGCACTAGAAGGATGTGAAAGTCGTAGAAGCTGGGGTGTATGCAGAGGAATTAGCTAGGAAGGTAGGTAAGAGTGCTGAAAGGGTTCAGAGTATCCTAGCAACACAGTTAGTGCCACTTAAGATGGTGATCCAACCGAGCAGAGTTAGCATAGTCAGCCCTCCGTGTGTTGGGTTTTGCATCCATGGATTCAACCAGCTGTGAGTTAAAAAGATTTGAAAAATAATTCTGTCTGTACTGAACAAGTGCACACTATTTTTCTTTGGTATTGGTCCCTTAAAAATACAGTCTTTATATACTATAGATATTGTGATCAGTATTAGAAGTAATCTAAAGTATACCAGAGGATGTGCACAGGTTATATGCAAATACTGTCCCATTTATACAAGGGACTTGAGCATCCTTAGATTTTGGTATCAGCAGAGGGTCCTTGACTTGCTACAGAATTAGTGTCTGAAAGGAAGACAAGGGTCCCCTTGTGGGGAAAATAGCGTGAAGTTTAAACAGGGATTGGAAGACAGCAGAGGAGGTCTAAGTGGGAGGCAGTTGGAGGTGCCCTGTGGTCAGGCCCCAGAACTTCCTTACAGAGTTACCAGGCAATCTGTGCATAGCAAGGTATCCAGGTGACAGAGGGTGGGACAGCAAAGGGGCAGATGTACCCCCTTCTACTTTGGGGAACAGGGGACTTCTAACCAGGGATAAGCTTTGTTTTCCATATTGTTCGCTGGTGATGCTTGCTGGGTTTCTGAGCCGTACTGTGGGTGTGTGCTTCTGATCTGTGTCCATCCACTTGTGAATTCCGGGGATGCTTCCAGTGCTTGCGGAGTGAGTTTCCGCACTCTGCTGCTTCCTGTGATTCAATTTCAAGTGTCTTTCAGAATGATGGCATTCAGAAAAAGAACTTGCGAAAGGTCAGGCCAAAAGCCCATCGAGCTACTTAGTGTTTTCTGCTTAAAATTCTGAGAAAGCGTGTTGGATAGTTTGGCATTCAATCTGGGGCAAACAGCACTGCCCTATTCATGGGAGAGCGTGAACTTCGGAGCCAATTCCTTGGACTCACAGAGGCTGTGGTCCCTCCCAGCTCCCGCCTCTTGCTGCTCCCATCTTCCTGCCACTACCTTGTTAGCTTCAGAGTTCGCCCTTGAGAGCCCCAGAGCCATAAACATCTTCTGGGTTCACCAAGCCGACCAATAACTAAATCAGGAAAGTTGCTTATATTGTATTGTTCGTTCTTGGTCATTGAAGATAAGTAAATTAAAGTGTTTGACCAGTTTTAAAGACTTTTTCCCCATCTTTTTGAACTTAATGAAAATATTTTACTGACTATTACTCTGAAAGTAACAACGTGCAGAGGGAAAAAGTATTGCCTGTCTTTCTGGCTAATGTAAAACATACAGTAGTTTGCTTTTCCTGAGATGTGAATTTATTGGTAATTGCCCTGGATGTAACACTAATGAATACATCATCTTTTTTTTTTCCTCTCAGCCAATCCAAAATATTTTTAAGCGAAAGAAATGATTTGGAAGGCAACTGTTAAACCATTGAACCATAAAACATTCTTTAAGGTTTTTTTTCTTTTTCCTAAGAAATGTGATTCTTGTATTTTGTTATTTTCTTCCTGCCCTTTCTGGATGCTACCTCGGTAGCTGTCATGTTTTAAATATTGACAAGATGAGATAGTTTTCTGTTTATATCAGCAGTCGTCTGTCTGTGAGATATGGACGAATCAGAACGCTGGATTTCCTTTCTCAGCGATCCATCAGGTTCATAATGTAAGGTTACAAACGGTTATTTCCTCTACCTCAACGTGCGCTGTGTGATGTGTTGCAGAGTGTTGTCGACAGCTAGAGGTACTGTGTCCCGGCAATGCAGAAAATTTGTAATGTCTAGTGACTCCTGAGATTTTTTTTTTTTTTGTCTATTCTACTTCATTTACTGTGCCATGTGACCAGTTGATGTGTAAACATTGTCCTAAAATGAGAAACTTATTTGGTTTTACAGTCTATGGTTAAAATCTGTCCCATGTGAGTTTTGGCTTTCATTCCAGGCATCTGTGTTAACTTGCTTTTGCAGGAAAAAGGAAAAGGGTAAATTGATATATATATATGTACATGTATATATCAGTGTTATTCCTGCCCATTTTGTATTTCCCTATGTCCACGGGCTATTCAACCCTTTGTGTCCAATGCCTCTCAATGATTCATGCGCTTCACTTGTGAGAAATACTTGAGTATGATTTGCATGATATTCCATATGCATTTTATGCAAATATGGGTGGAGGAGAACCTGGGAGAAGCGCTATTACAGTTACAAGGTGGTTCTCAGCCTTTTTCCATTTGACAGTACTGAATTGATCTTCACAATGTATATGAAATTGTGACCCATTTTACTCTGAGCTGCTGAGCTGCTTAATATTCAGATATTCACATTTCTCCTTTGTACGCTTTAGAAAAATTTGCTGGGCATGGTGGTGCATGCCTGTCGTGCACACAGGAGACAGGCAGGGGGATTCTTGCAAGGGTAAGGCTAGCCTGGGCTACACAGTGAGTTCAAAGCCAACCGGAACTACATAGCAAGACCCTGTCTCACAATAAAAATCATTTTTGTTTGGAAAGTAAGCATTTTTAATGTAGTTTTAAGTATTTTATTTTAAAGTACAGACCTATTTTCACATCCTGTGGAATTTTTCCCACTGGATAGCCCGCGGTCTGAGAGGTTGTGATATTTGGTTGAGAATCACTGAGCAGTTTGCTGGGGTGGCATGCAAAGGGCCTCTCGTTGGGTGCCTCGTCGGGTACATCTGTCCTGTGCATGGGACTTCGAGTTCGTGAGGGCCGCGGTGCGTGTGCAGTGCCTGGGAACGGTGCTTCCATGGCTCAGCAGCTCCTCCTGAACTCGTAGATGCCACGCAAGCTCTTATGTGTTCAGAAGTGGCCCTCTCTGCTTTTCATGGAAAGAACAAATTCGGTGCAAACAACTGCATTTCACCACACTAGCATCCTGTATTCCTAAAGAATTTTCAAAGGAGCTACTGCAGGATCCTGATTTTATGTGTGTGTGCATGTTGTGGGAGACCTTCTCTTACTTTCACATCCAAATATATGTATTTATCGCTAAGCGTAGAGCTACATGGAACATTCTTCAAGGCTTAGAGATTAAAGAGCGTAGATGTAATCACCTGTGTCCTATGTACGTTTATGTAGCCCATCTCTGAAATTTGTGAGAATTATTGAATGTAAAATCTTACAGTAACCATTGTCAGGCCAGGCATATAGCTCAGCGGCACAGCATCTGCCTGAGAAGCACAAGGCCCTGAGTTCAATTCCCAGTACCAAAAAAAAAGTCATTTAAAATCACTTTTACTTTTTCATTAAGTGTTCTTTTTGAAGAAATACAGAAGAATGTTTGTTAATATTCAGATCTAAATTTATAAGAAAGTAGGCGAGATCATTTCCTAGTAGAAAAGATTTTAAAGCTTTTTTATTAAAAAATCAATTAAATCTTTTAATTGAAATTTTAAAAAATTTTGAAAGAATAATACAAGTCTTGGAAAATATACCTTTCTGTTAGAAAGCTGAGTCACGATCGTGATTTTTAATTATTTACTGACATCCTTAGGAAATCTTTTTCTAAAGAAAAAAAAAATAAGAGTATAGAGAATGTTTCCCCCTTTGTATTCTCAGAGGTCCTAGAATATGTAAGTCAGTTTTTCCTTTGGGGAAAGAGCTACCCCGTATGATCTGTTTTGGAATTCACCTTATATATCTGGTTGCATGAACTAAAAACTGGCAGCTGTTTACCACTTTTTGAAATAATGCTGAGGGGCCAGGTATAGCTCAGTGGCACAGCACCTGCCTGGCAAGAGCGAGGTTGTGAGTTTGACTCTCGGTACCAAAAAATTTTTAAAATTTCTAAAAAGGAAATAATGCTGAGTTTAAAAGCTGCATTTTGGAATCTGCCACCCAATAAAACTTTGTATGTAGACTTCTGTGAATTTTCACTAAATTCACTTAATGGCTTTGTATTTTTAAGCTGTTTGTTTAAAGGGAATGTTTATTTTACATATATATATATATATATATATATATATATATATATATATATATCCCAATTATAGTCCTTCAAACTCAACCAGACTATGAATTTGTAATTAGTCATTGGCAAATACCTGTTAGACAGAATCAACACTCCACTTAAAACTTTAATCTCAAATTATGTTTCTTTGCCGGGCATGGTGGCTCACGCCTGTAATCCCAACACTCAGGAGGCTGAGGCAGGAGGATTGTTGTGAGTTCAAGACCAGCCTGAGCTACAAATTGAGCTCAAGGCCAGCCTGAAATGCAAAGTGAGACCCTGTCTCAAAAAGACACACACACACACAAAAATCAAATTATGTTTTTTCTGTATCATTTCAATTTTAGTATATGTGCTGCCGAAGCGAGCACTATGTTTTTTCTTAATATTTGAAAGCTAATTTTTATTTTGAATTTGAAGAGATAGTCAATGAGGTACATTTCACACTGTTTAATTGATGGCCTTTAGTGTATTTATCAAAAATTGAAAAGGCCTTAAGGCAGACATTTTTTAAAATGCCAAATAAATTTGGTTTTGAGCCATGACCAAATTCTTAGAATATTAAGTTCATTTACATACATTAACCTAAAGGAAAGATTTTCCCTCAGTATTTTAAGCTCTAAAGAAATAGCTCGAAGACGTTTATTAAAAGTTCCTTAAATCGCTTTAATTTCACTTCTGTAATTACTGAAGAAAGCCCTCTAAAGATTGCTGTGTTGGTAGTATTTTAAAAATGACAAAATTCTACCCTGAGCTTTTCCTACTTCATCTTGTTGTTCTAATTAAATATTATTGCATCATTGTTACCCAGCTTTAGGTTTACTTCTCGTTAAAGATAAATTTTCATTGTAAACCATTATTTGAGGTGAAAGACTTCTCGGATCTGTTTGATTTTTATTTAATTTTTAATAAGCTTTTATACAGTGGGAAATTATTAGAATTGACTTAGAATGTTTGCCTGAGAAATGCAGAGCCCATGTAGATATGGCAGTAACCTTCATCGAGCACGAACACAGAGCTTCAAAGTTCCAAATTATTTGACGTATGAAGCAAAAATTATTATTTGCCAGTGTCTTACCCCACTCCCTATGGTCACGCCTCTCCCCGGCTCCTGTATGGCTTGTCCCTGCTGGAGTCCCACCTCCAGGAGGTCTGAGGCCTCAGGCAGCCGGCTTCTCCGGGCTCTTGTCTTTCCTGGCAGCAGCCAGGTAGGGCTGAATCCCAGCTGTGAGCCAGAGTCACTCCTGTCCTTCACAAGAGTGCGATGCTAAGTCCAGCTGTGGGAATCTCTCCATTCCCATTAAATAAATTCCAAAGAGAGAACTCAGCTTCTACACAGTGAGTGCTCTACTATTTCCAGATCTTCAATCTAAGATTCTGAGAGATAGATTGATGAATTTGAAGAAAAGAAATTTATTTTCTTATAAATTCACCTAAAAACACTTTTGTCCCCTCTGAAGATGAACTTCTGGAAATAGCACTACATATGACAAAACTCGGGCTCTATTTCCAGAAGAGTCCAACCCAATCTTAGAGGGAATTTTAAAATATTTGGACTGGAGTACAATTTCACGGCCACAAGGAAAATACAGTAAAGATTACATCGTTCCCTCTCCTGGAAGTATCTTCCCCCATAGCACTGAGGGAGTTCCTACCAGGCCGCCCTGGATTCAAACCAGGTGGTTTGTGATTTTTGGACAAAGTAGAGTCGTAGGAGAGCAGAGGCTGCTGCTGCTGCTGCGCACGCAGGTAAATGGATGTGCCCCCAGTTTCTTCGGGTGGTTATCAAGTGAAGGATCTCGATTTCCAAATGGGTGGAGGGTGTATGTGCTGGAGCTTGTTCCCAAAATGGCTGCTGCAACTCCTGCAGATGATGGAAATATTTGGATCGGCATTTGGCTGTAGTTCTGCTTTGAGTGTATGGAACTCGCATTAAAGTTTAATTATGAAAGTGCGTGAGTTAACTGAACAATTGGAGAATGGATTTGCACATGGTTTGCATGTTTAGCATACTAACCTGTGAAATGTCCCCATACCCCCAGCTTCAAGGCACCCACTCCCCCGACCCCCGCCACCCTATGCCAGCTCTTCCCCCTGCAGTCCTTGGAAACCCAGCTCCCACCATGTCATTCAGGCTTTCCGAAACCTGTCCACTGAGCTCGGCCGAGGTGTACCTCAGCTAAACCAGAATAGGGCGAACATAAAGATCTGTTGCTTGGTTTGGCTGGCACTTCAGGGGACACTGGCTCAAAAGATCTTTTGATGTCACCCAGATCCTCCTTTTGTATCATTCCACGGAGTTGCGTGCACACTTCTGTTGTTCTGTCACCTGTGACTGTGACAGTGTCACCTGTGACTTAAGTGTACTATACCTGTTCGCTATGTTGTTGTTGCTTGGGGAGTGGGGGTGGGGTTAATGGGAAATTAAAAGATGATTTGCTAGATTTGGGGAGAGCTTCTATTTACAAACTTCTAGCTGCAGTACTTCTAGTGTTGCAGTCTATTATCACTTAAAGGTTATTACACTCAGCTTCAAAGTAATAATGAACTCTACAAGTCTCCATTTTGAAGTTTATACTAGTATATTAAGAGCAAATCACAGCCAATTGAAATAAGAACTAGACAGATAATAAAGATGCACTTGCAAGAGAAAGAAAATTTTAAAAAATCAAAATTAGAAGCCAGAGGAAAACTTAATCCTGAAATTAATTGCAATTGGTTACTGCTCTTAAAAAATAAAAATTTATATAACTAGAAAGAGAAAAATTCAACTGTGAATCAGGGATGGAACTTACAACAGGAAAATGCTAGTGCTAATATTACAGGTAAGGTCTTAAAAATATCAACAGATAGGGAATAGGAGAGTCAAGCAACATACAAGTAAATCAGCAAGTAGAACAAAAGAAACACAGAGAGCGGTAGTAGCCCAGAACGGAGAGAGAAGAGCTGGAGTTCTGGCATCTCAGGCTCCAGTGAAAAGCTATGGAGACAGCACTGTACCAACTGGGCTCCCCTGTGGCTAGAAGCAACCCACCTCCACGACACGTGCCTCAGGCTCTCTGGTGCTGTGAAAGAGCCTGGGTGTTCCTGATGGACTCCAGAACTTTTCTTCTCTTTTTTCAAAGCCAGTTATAAATTTCCAGGAGGCAAGGCCTTTGCCTCCCGCTTCTGTCTTTGCCAGCTACCTTCTGTCCCACCCAGTCTAAGTCCAAACTGCACAGAGAAAATCAGAAGGCTCATCTCCAGACATGCACCCTACTTGAGCTTTCCTGGAGGCCTGTGGTCCCTAACTTTTTGCATCTCTAGATCCTTTCAAAAATTTGATGAACTCTGCGAACTTCCTTTCTCTCCCAGAACATGCATTCCAATTTTGCACTTTTGCCCCAGCTTGAAAATCTTCCCTGAGAAATCCCACAGTGTGTCAGCCCCTTTGCTGAGAGCTCTGCGGCATCGGTCTGTAGCCAAGGTTTGGGAGCCTTGTGAAACCTCTTTACACTCTGCAAATGCCTGAGGAAAGTAATTTCTCACAATTCTACGAAGCCCACCAAAGTCAGTTTAGAAGAGAGTGGCTTTAGAAATCTGCCCCTAATCTAGTTTCAGTTATGTCCAGAGAACAAAGGACAGATTTTTGAAACATCAGAATCTTTACCTCAGGAAAAAGAGTAAGAAGTACCCCGGGTGTGACATGCAAACCAGCACAGGGCTTTGGCTTCATAAATGTTCAAACCGTACCTTGACAGTCAGAAAACAGATCGAGGCTAATCTCATGGAAAGTGATTAGTAAAATGATTGGATGCCCTTCTGTTTGGGGTGTCTCAATGGGGCTTTATATCACATGATATACCATCACATGCGAATGCACTTGTGTTTGTGAATCGGGGTGCTCAGTACACGCAGAAGCACACATGGGCACACTTGTCATTGACAGTCAGGTTTTCTGAGGATGGTAGCAATCACAGTGGCCCTTTGTCGATACAACTGGATTCAAATGAGAGCAACTAACACCACCCATTAGTAAATTTTTCCTTTAACATTCTGTTTGGTGTCATACAATAAAATTTCTCCAGAGATCTACAATTCAAACTATACATGTCATATTTGGGGGCTGAAATTTATGGAACTGTGTATGCTCCCATAAAAGCATTCAAACTAAAAATTCCAATCAAGTTTGACAACAGAAAATTCTTTCAAGGATGCTATATTCTTTTCTGTTATAACACAAAATTATGAATAATAAACCATTAATTTCTTCATCTTATTTTAAAATTACTTAGCTTAAGGTATCATTCCTAAAATAGAATAATTCAACTTTGAATTAGTTCAGCTTTGGGAAATATGATGCTAATACACACAAAAATGTGGGAACCAGTGACAGTATTTATGGACATGGTACACCTGAATGCACTTGTAGTGATACCCACCTGTGCAGGGCAGAATCAGGCCAGCTTGGGGGCGGGGGTGGAATTTGCCTGTGGCTCATATTGCTTCTAAAATAAGTGTCATTTTCAGACAGGAGACTGGGGAGAGCCTTCTATCACCTTGCGACCTCCAAATGAAGCCACAGCCTCAACTCCAGTGCAGTACTGGCAACATCACCCAGAAAAGCTCATCTTCCAGTCATGCGACTACAAGGCTTTTGTGAGTTGCTGTGGATTCAGTATTTGGGTACAGGTTGGGACAGAGGGCATGTTTTTGGGTATTTTGCATTTACATTGAAAATGCGCCAAAACATTCATCACTGCAATTCCTAAGGTGTTTTCCCCCTCCTCAATTTCTTAAACTAGCATTCTGTGCAAAGAACGTCCAACTGACTAGAGTTTTATAACACCTTAAGTCTTTAAGCTCATAAGCTGTTCTGCCCCTCTTACAGAGTTGTATGCATCAAAAGGAATGTGGTAAAGCACAATTTAAAATAGAAACGAGGAGCTGGTAGAGTGCTTACGTAGCGTGCATAAAGCCCTGGGTTCAATCTCCAGCACTGCAAAAAATAAATAGGTAAAATAAAATGGAAATGAGTATAAATATAAAAAGACATATATATTCGTCTTCATTCACCAATGATCTCAGAACGTTGAGTCTACCACTTTATATAAATACCAAATTCTTTTCATTGTCATCTATTGGATTCTATTACTGGTTTAGATTTTTTGGTGGTCGGGGTTTCTGTCTCATTTCTGTTTGGAACAGAAGCAGTAGTTATCCTTAGCTGAGAACAGGTAAATGTTCAAAATGCTGTCGTTGGGGCAGGTAGTGGTTGTCATGACTACAGCAGAAAAAAAATGGCCGAAGTCCTGGCAGCGCGTGAAAACCACCTCTCGTGAAACATTCCAATTAGACAAAGTTTCCTGATAATTTCAAAGATAAAGATTGCACCAGGCTCATTTTCCTTAATTTGATTTAGATGTGGGCCCTGGCAGTTGGGGCTTTTTTCCTCCCCTTGTGCTGTCTTCTCTTTTACTGCTTGCTTATCCGGCAGCAATGGATTTCTTTCAGCAGTAGTCACTGGAAAGCGCTTCGAAGTTCGGACCCAAGCCCCTGAGGCTTTCTGAACAGCGCTTTCTTCAGCGCCCTCGACCAGGCCTTCTGCTCCCGGGCCGCCTCCTCGCCAAAGCGGTGGCTTCCCTGTGTCTGAACTTTACCAAGAGTCATCAGCTAGGTCAGGAAATGTCCTTCGTGGCTCCTGAAATAATTATTTTATTCACTTTTTAAAAAGCTATTGAGGGGCTGGGGATTTAACTCAGCGGCACAGCGCCTGCCTGGCAAGCACAAGGTCATGAGTTCGATTCCCAGTACTGGAAGAAAAGAAAAACAAAAACAAAACAAAACAAAAGATATTTAGTGGTCTTTATTTATTTTGAAGGCCAGTGGGGAAAGAGAAAAACGATAAAAAGAAAGGACCCTGTTGAAGCTTCAGAAGGTTGGTGAGAAGTTATTGCTAAAAAGGCAGCAAGGTGCCTTCGCTCACAGCTATCTTCCCTCAACCAGAAGCAGGAGAATGAGTGGTGCTGTTCACCGAGGTGGTTTGGGACCCACTCACCTCACAGCAGAGGGGCTGGCAGTGCTGGGAGGAAACATCCTGACCCTTCCCTGTGTCCACCCAGCGCTCCCAGCCTGACGGCACCGGCCGGCTGTGCAGGGGAGAAGGGCGCCCCTCCTCCCGCCCCCACCCCTGGCCCGCTCTCAGGTGAATCAACCACAGGGCATGCAGCTGTGAATGAAAAGGGTCCAGAACTGCATCGCTGCCTCAGAACAGCCTAACGTTAATTACCTATGCCACCAAATAATCTCAGACGGGGACGGGTTGCTTAGCTCCTCAGCTGTCTCATACAACCCTGTAATTACACAGATAGTAGTGTGATTTATTTTTGCAGACATTGCTGCCTCAAAAAAAATAAATAAATAAATAAGGGAAAACATTTTTAGATGCCCCCATTTTGCAGTTAAATATGATTTGAAAGATGGCATCTTTAGAAAATGCTGCTGCTTCATTACAGAGAGCAATTTACAGCCCCCAGAACGTATGGTTCATTCTGCTGCATTTGCTGTATGAATACATTTATGTGTAAGGATTAGTTTCTGTTAGTTTCATAAACTTATTGGCAACTTATAGCCAGGAAGCCTAGCTGGCAGTACTTCTGCCTTTCTTTTTAAATCCTGACTCATTTTTATACTCTCCTTTTCATAAATCATTCCTTTGTTTGTATTTTAGTATTTAGGTTCTATGCTGATAAAAGAGCTCAGGGGGACAGAATCAACTCAAGATGCTTGTGCAAAAATGCGGGTGAGTTTGCCAAAGTAGTTTATTTCTAGTAGCTGAAATACTAAACACTGGGTATGGGTACAAATTGCCACCTTTCAAATTACTGTTTTCTTCATCGGCTGGTCTGCTGAGTCACATTGGTGTTACAGAAAAAGGTGTCTTGGCTTTGTTCGTCCTTATGCTTGGCCTTTTCTCACTAAAGTTTAATGTCTCTTTAATATTCTTTTACCATGTTGTATTTGCTCTGAATTATTTTTAAGAGACTGAAGTTAACTGTGCGTATACATTGATCATTTCCAGGTTAAGAGAGAAAGAATCCTTAGCTTATCTCAAGAAGTTGTTTTAAAAACCCACTTGACAGTCTGAAAATATTTATTGTAAAGACTGCAGCTTAGCTCAAAACTGTCAAGTATTGGGAACATATTCTATAAAACTAATACTTCGTACGACATCTTAATCCCTCTTTTTTCTTTTTTAAATACAAGCAAAACCTCCAGCTCTAAGTGGGATGAGGCAGAAGGGCAGTAAATGTTGACAAAAATGGCCATTCCCCCTGTCCGTGATTGGGGGTTGCTGGAGTCCTGAGTCTGTTATAACCAAGGCAAACCTCACCCGTGCACTCATGCGCTTTTTTCTTTGATATGCCCTTCATTCTTGCTTTCTCCGTAGCAGATGTAAGGAGGATGTGGTCGTAGGAGTATGAGACTTCCTCAGTGTCACAGCTAACCGTAGTTAAATTTAAGAGAATGAACCCTATCTTTTATCTGTGGCCAGAGTATCTCCTCATTAATTTTGTGTGAGCATCTGCTGATGGGAACTATTTGAAAGCAGATACTTGAACTAAAACACTTAGAAAGTAAGTATGAAGTATGTACTACTCATGAAACGCTAAATATATGCAAATTTGTATGAAAATGAAACCTCACTATGCAATCACTAATGTAATATTTTCATGAAGACAGTAGCAAAAGAAAAAGTGTGATCGTTGCCCGTCTACTTGATGAATTTGCATGCTAAGTCTTGTGTTTACACTAAACCCAAGTTTTACTTCTGGTGCTGCTTGGTGTTCCAGGGTACGTGTTATTCATAATACTACATGGCCACTAACATTTGCTGGTGGTTTCGGTGTGCCGTAGTGTAACTATTATCCCCATTTACAGGGGCAGGATCTGAGGCTCACGGAGGTTAAATAACTCTCCCAAGCTCACACGGTGAATGAGTTGCCAGCACAGAACCAGAATTCAGATCTGCCTGACCTCAGGCTTCCAGCCCCTATTTCCCCTTCGTTACCCTGAGCTTGCTTTCTTCTTGCTCTGAAAGTGACATTAGATTCGATGCTCCAGGGTTTTCCTGGCCTTATAATTCTGGGACTCTCGTATTCTAAATAGGCACACATCTAACTTATGTCACCACTGAACGAGAAAATTGGAAGATTTTCCAATCATCAAGCCTGTGATGATTTCAAAGATATTCATGAACATTGTAAGAAATTAATTTGACACCTCTGATTGAATACTATTAACTAAATCACCTAAGTCCAGCCACTTCGGTGTTCTAATTGTCAAAAATGTTGTACCGTGTCCGTAGCAGCAACTATAATAAGCCGGATCTGTGATTTGAGTTTCAGTCAATTTCTCGAAATTGAGTGGATCTGAAATTACATCCTGATAGTAAGAGCAAAGCCATTTTAATAGTCTCAGAGGAGAATAATTTAGTTAAATACATGTCTGTTGCTTAAAATGAAACTTAGGAAAAGCTATCTATTTAGAGCCATTCTTCCATTCTTTGGGGCATTTTTCTGATTGGCTGCCCTTGGTGTTTATTTTAGGTAGTTTACATGAAAATAGAAATTTGATTGCTTCTTAGAATATCATAAACCTTTATTTCCCATCTTCATTAACTAAATCACGGTCCTGGGTGCAGTAGCTAATGTTGTATGCACCGCACTCACTCTCTCAAAACCAGAAGCACAGATTTGATCTGTTATCTAGCACTATTGTGAATTAGAACTTTCGCCAGCCAAAAATGGTGTGATCTCAGCTTGCAGTCATTTTCAGTTTGAACCTGAAGTTGCTGTTTTCTCTGTCTTCAAAACAGTGGCATTTCAGCTGAAAGTACCAGTGTAATCAAATCCTTTCATGGGAAATGCTTTAGGACACAAGTATCTTAAAAGTTGATATACAGTAATAGTATTAGGCCAGAGTAGTGTAGATTAAAACCTTACCCGGTTTACTCTTTTATTTGATTTAAAAGAAGAAAAATAGTTTTTGGTTCAACAGTATATACTTTAGCTGAAATTAAAAGTTCTTTCCCAGGAAGAAGTAACTCAGCGTGTCTCCTGATTTTGAGTAATAATTTTGGTTGCTGATATCCCTGAGCTGAGATCCAGTGGAGAAAAACAATATATAAACATTTTATTACCCCAAAGGGATGGAGGTCCCACAAAGAGGTGTCTCCACCTTGCCGTCAGTCTAAGAGATCATCATAGATGACTCCCTAAGTGACATAAAATCACAGGGTCCTAAAATCAGTTTCTTAGGATTAATAACAGTTAACACTTGTTATGCGCCACTCTGCACAAGAGAATCGTAGACATTGTTTCATTTAATCCGTGAGGCAGATACTTTTTCCCTTATCCGAACCCGACTGTTTCAAATCTGAGCTTTTTCTTTTGAAATATTTGCATATACTTATAAAGATATGTTGGGGATAGGGCTCAAGCCTAACTACAGAACTCACTCGTGTTTCCTATGCACCTTTACACACATAAGTCGAAGGTAGTTTTATACTGTATTTTTACTGCACCTCCATTTTGGCTGTGGATCTGTCCACTTGTGACGTCACATCAGCGCTCAGAGAGCTTCCGATCTGGGAGCATTTTCAATTCCGGATTTTCACGTTAGGGATGCTCAACCTGCATGGCCATCATCCCCGCTCTACATTCGGGGAAGAAAGGCCAAAGGAAAGTTAAGTAATTTGCTGGCCATCATATAACCAGCAAGTGCAGAGCAAGGATTTGAACTCAAGCTCACTCCACCTCCCACCCTGTGAATCCAAGGCTAGACCATCTCTCTCATGTGCAATGGAACAGATTGTCCAGAGTTTTAAAACGGTTTGGAAAAAAAATTTAAAAAGCAAAACAAAACAGAAACATCTTGAAAAAGTGGAGAATTTGTGTTCCTAAGAAGTAGTTTCGCATATCTCTAATCCCAGCACTCAGGAGGCTGAGGCAGAAAGATAATCAGGAGTTCGAGGCCAGCCTGGGCTTCAAAGTGGACTCAAGGCCGGCCTCTGAACTACACAGTGAGACGCTGTCTCAAGAAAAAGCTTTTGGAACCCTCAGGTAGTCTATAAGATTAGCACTGCATAAACTGAACCATTTAAGTATGGACTATACCTCGTAATTTTGGATATATTCCAGTGTGTTAACGTACATAAGATTTTCAGAACAGTTCTTCGTGCATCCTTAGCGACTACAAGATAGTCTCCCCCCAATATTTATTTTAATACAACCATTAGTGCTCCAATAAAAGCAAAATACAGATTTCCCTTCTACTTGAGATCGTTTGAAGTGTTTGATATTCACAATTAATTAGTTTCTTAGTCTACCTATATCTATTTATCAATCTCTAAAGTCACCTTCAGCTGTAAAACAAAAATAATTCTAATTTTCTGGTGTTTTGTGATACATACTATTTCGGTTAAAAATATGCCATAATAAACTAACATGTTAGACAGTAGCTTAATTCACATCTTCTACGCATGGACCCATTTCTTACTTTGCATGCTCAAATTAACCAGTTTTTTCCCCTTTCAAGTTTTCTTAGGTTTTTTTTAGTTAACAGACTTTCTTTTTAAATAGTCTTGGTTTTTTAGAGCAGTTTGGGGTTATAGAAAAATTGAAGAAAGGTAGAGAAGGATGCTGAATACTCCCCGTGCTCACACATGCATCGCCACCATTATCGACGTCCTGCTCCAGAGCGGTGCATGTGTTAGCAGCGGACGAACCTGCATCCTAGCCACGTGAGTCCTGGTGTACGCTGGGGCTCATGATGGGGGTTACACAGGCTACGATGCTGGACCAGTTGGTCATGGCCTGAATCCCCTGTTATTATTGCAGTCGTTCACTCCCCTAAAATTCATCTGTCTTTTAGAGCAGTTTCAGGCTTACAGAAATATTGAGCATGAAGTACAGAGTTCCCACAAACTCTCTCTATTGTTACACCCTCACAGTTTCCCCTGTTGTTAACATCATGCATCAGTGTGGTTCAGCTGTCACAATTATGAACTAATAGTGATATATTATTAACTAAAGTCCATGGTTTACATTAGAGTTCACTCTTTGTGATATACAGGGTATAGTATTTGGACGTTTTACAACTGCTTAAAGTTGTGTATCCACCATTACAACTTGGTTGCTTCCAAGTCTGAGCAATTATGGTAGAGATGATACGAATATAAACACTTATACACAGGCATTCCTCTTAAGACTGCTTCAATTTTGGATGCAAACTCTAAATAATGCCCTCCCCCAATATTATCTTCTAAATAGTGCTTAGTGAAGAAGAATCAATGGAAACTTGCTCTCAACCCTAACTTTTTATTAAGTTGCAATTTCTGTCTTATCTTGTAGTGTTTTCCTTAATAAGAGCCTGTGATTACAAACGCTTTGATATTGAGGTGTCCACTTAGGTAGAACGATGTCTATGAATCACTTTGTAGTACAGCCTGGCTGCTCATTCCATTTACCTGGACAGCTTTAAAGACATCTCTATTTAAGATTAAAAACCCGAAAACATATATTAGCGAGTGTGAAGAGTTGTCAGAAATATCTCTTCATCAGAACATATTCATTTAGTGCTGCCTTTTATGTTCCTGGTTGGATTTTCCAGCAAACTCCAAGCAAGCTCAGAGGCCTCATCTTCACTTCTGAAACGATTCCTCCAAGGAACCATTAGTGCTGGGGTGCTGAACATGGATGCCCCTCTTACCCTGTTTCCCATAAAACATGGACCCTTCCT